TTTGACTCGTACATTACATAATATCATTATATATATTATCATTATTATCGTAGTATCATTCTATTGAGTGCCAAACGTACTCTGCCTTGATGCATAAAATTGTCTGGTATTAGACAGAGCAAAAGAAAAAGGTAAGGAGCATTAGAGTGCAATGCAAGTATACAACGTAATGGTAAAAGCAATTTGTTTTACTCTTTGGAGCACCATTTCAACAGGGATTCAATGACATAACATGAGAGCCTTGAATAATTAAAATTCTTTAATTGGCTAAATGCTTGATGCTTCGATTATATGTTTTCTTCTGTTGAAAATCTGCCTGTATTATACGGGTGCTTTTCACATAGAACGGTGCTTCCTCTACACAATTCTGCATACTGATATTTAATCTATACATACGTGTATTACAAATAAATTAAAATAATAAAAAAAACATCACAGGGTTCACGTACACAATCGATGTAAATTCCGGACCCTTGGCCTCGTTTAATATTTAATTTTTTTAAAGAATAGCTTTTTGACTTTTTCATGTACATTTCCTCAAGAGAACGCTTCCCTAGATATATTTACGTATATTGTAATAATTATAGTGAATATAGGGTAGAATTATATTGTGTTGATGACCCGAACTACACAACACGTGTACAATTTGCAAACACACATTTGTATAAACTGAATAGACTCATGTTCGGCAAATTAAATATTATCAAAACCAAAATCTATATTTCCATACCCCCAAGGCAGCCACCAACAAAATCCACAACATTTTCGTTCATTTCCAAGTGTTTCAGCCAAAAAAATTGGCAAAACTAGAGGTCCAAAGGTTACCAGACATCACCAGTACATTTACTCTCGATCGAAAATTTTTTCTTTGTTTACAATTTTTCCAGTTTTTCCCTCTGTTTACATTTTGGCGATTAACCGCTAGTCAATAGTAGCGCAACTGCTCAAACCCTTGGATACGAATACTAAGCGCTGTTGACTCGGCCAATCACGGTTCGTTATTTTTAGCCAATGATAAAGATAGGCTGATGCACGCCAACCAATGAAAATCCAGAGATAAATATACTTCAATAGTACTTGATGAAAGATTGAGTGTAATCAAATATTTCTGGAATTCGACTTCCAGGAACTTCGACTTCCTTGCTTGCAAAGCTCGACACGTCGAAGCTGTTCAGATAACTGTGTTCAGACACAAACTACGGCAGATTAATAAAAAATACCAGGGCGCAGTAGAATACTATCTTGGGATAGTTGAAGTGTCTTATAGATGGAAATTATCGAGTGCAAATAGATCTAAACGAACCGGTAGGTTCGATTCCTGCCAATGACAATATATATATATATATATATATTCATTGTCTTGCATGTGTAACTGTGAATTTGCGATTTGAAACAATCTTTGAAAAATTGAGTACAGTGTATATGCAGTATCAATTTCCTTTAATAGAGCGTAAAACAAGATACGAGATTGTTGAAGGAACACCAGAGGATGGATTGTGCAGAAAATCACCCAGTTGCAACTGGCAAACAGATATATATATATATATATATATATATATATATATATATATATATATATATATATATATATATATATATATATATATATATATATATATATATATATATATATATATATATATATAATTAATTCTTGTTGTCCGTAATTGAACGAAGAGTGCTCTATACCAATTAATATACGATAGAGCTTAAATAATTCTTTAATCTTAAAATATATATATATATATATATATATTTTATATATTTTAAGATTAAAGAATTATATATATATATATATATATATATATATATATATATATATATATATATATATATATATATATATATATATATATATATATATATATAAATTTCTGTTTTTAATAGTTTCATTGTAAATATTTAATGGTCAATAAAAGGTTTATATTCTTTACTTTAACGAAAATAATAATTTTACTAACGTCGAGGCTGTTGCAAACAAATGAATTTCGCGAAGACAAGTTTTCCCGCGCTTTTATAATTTTAAACAAAACTGATAGAAAAACTGTATTAAATGTCCCAAATTCTTTTCATTATTCTGCCATATGGCTTGTCGTATGTTTAAAATTGACAAAACATCTGAAAAGGGTTGAAAAACCATGAAAAAAGCCACAATTCGCAACTGTCCAATAGGTTCCAGTCCAATATCGTACATTATTATACACTCACGCGCACTTAACCAATCAGTAATCGTTGAGAGGGTCACGTGCCGATCCAATATTTTACGATATTGGACAGAAACCTATTGGACAGTTGCGAATTGTGGCTTTTTCAATCTTTTTCAACCTTTTCAGATGTTTTGTCAATTTCAAACATACGACAAACGATATGGCAGAATAATGAAAAGAATTTGCATGGGACATTAATACAAATTTTTCTACCAGTTTTGTTTAAAATTAGAAAAGCGCGGGAAAACTTGTCTTCGCGAAATTTATTTGTTTGCAACAGCCTAGAAGTTAGTAATATTATTTTTTTCGTTAAAATTAGGTCAAATTTCCTTTAAATTAACATACATGGAATTGAGTTTATTTATGTACACATATTTGTAAAAACAGGCTTATTACCTTTTTTTTAGTTATTTAAGCAAATTCGCCGCCGATAATGTAGTAATGTTGTCGCTGTATTAGTCTCGCTGTATTTACTTTATCGCTTATTGACAATTTTTGTTCTATAGAATGGGTTTGTTCGATATAATAAAAGTCCTATTGGATTCATCTTCGCCCAATATGGCAAAATATTAAGTCTCGACTTAATATTTTGCCATATTGGGCTCAGAAGAATCCAATAAGATATAATAT